TCAAGCCAGCCTGGCTAAATAAAATACAGGAAGCTTAAAGTCAAGGCTAGTACCCGCACGCAGACCAGCCACCAAGCTATCAACGGGTGGGTTGTAAACGACTCTGTGTAGAAAGCTAAGGGATGGGGAGGGTAGGTTTTAAGACCCCCTGGCCAACTGGCATATGTCTCTAAGACTGGAAGGGGCTTGTCTCATTCATCCAGGTTCAGAGCCTGCCTGCAGGGTTGGTAGTAAGGCTTGTATCTCATCACACACCAGTCAGAGGGCCGAAACTCCATGGCTGGAGGGTGGTTGAGTATCAAAAATTATACTCTCGGGGTAGAGGGCTCGACTGACATTGCAAAAACCTTGTGGCTAGGTTTTCACTTGAAGATGGGCATCACCTGCATTCAAGCCAGCCTGGCCGAAGAAATTGCAAGACGCTTAACTTCAAGACCAGTGCTTGCATGTATCCAAGCCAACATTTTATCCAAGGATGGGTTCCAAATGATTCTTTATGGAAATTTCAGGGGTGGGAAAGTTTGATTTTTGAAACCACTCGGTAAACTTCCACTTGTTGTTTTTCTAAGGCTGCAAGAGGGTTCTCTTATTCACCGAGTTTAAAAACCTGCATTGCAGAATTGGTAGTGAGGCTTGTATCTGTCACATCCCAACAACCAGGCTAACACTCCATGGCTAAAGCGAAAATCCCTATGGAGACCCTAGCCATCAGGTTTTTGCAAAGTCAATCGAACCCCCACCCCTAAAGGTATGCTTTTAACACGCAACAACCCTCCAGCAATGGACTGTTAGCCCTGTAGCCGAGGTTTGACAGGGCACAAGCCTGACTAACAATCCTGCAATGCAGTCTTTCAACCTCGATGAATAAGACAAGCTTTTTCCAGCCTCATGGTCGAAGGCTTTAAAAAACCTGCCCCTCCCCTCTCCTAACCTTTCCACGCAGAGTTTTCTACAACCCACTCTTGCATAGGTTGGTGGCTAGGCTGCATATTAGCACTAGCCTTAACGTTAAGACCCCTGTATTTTCCTTGGCCAGGCATCAGGTATTTCCTTCCCCTCCTAAGCTCTCAACTACCCTTCAAACACAGGGTATTCACCCAATAGTTGAGCTCTGTCAGGTCTTAAACCTGACTGTCAGTCTTCCAACAAAATGGGAATGTTTTTGCGAATTAATTGTATTTTTGGATACGAAAGAAAAGTTAAAACGACAAGTACAACTGATTCTTGAAAAATGAAACAAGCCTCCCTCAATCTTTGCTAATCTAATGGCCCAATACACTGGCAAAGCAAAATCTTACCATGCTATCGAATTCCTCTATGCAACATCTTCCTGCTCAAGTCTTGTCCATTGTACTACAAATAATAACGTACAATCAATCAAACTCTGTCAAAATTACAGCATTTAGCCTTTCTCGCCCTCTTACAGGCCATTAAGTCAATCATTCAAACCAAATGACATAATGATAGTTATATGCTATAAATAATTTTAGAAAGGGTGAAATGTAAGAGATAATACTCACAATAGTAACTATAGCTTTCATTTATTACAGTCACTTTAAACAAATGTGTCTTTTGAAAGATTTGAAACTTAATGTGGAAATATCAGCCATCAGCGATCGTTTTCTCTCGCGATCGATGAACCGTCGTATTAAGAAGCAACTGATTTTACGCTCTGTAACAACTTATTAGGTAAAGCTTAGCGAGATAAAACAAGGCTTTGAAACCTAACATTTTAGACCTCAAGAGAAGCTTCGCCATTCTTCCTATTCGCTTGAGTATCCCGCAAAGAAGGATATTCATTGCATTAGCATTCTTTATTTACGCAATTGAGAGCGAGAGGGAGCTGAAACAAGCCCCCTTATTCACCTAGAAATGCCATTTTTGGACGTAAGTTTACTCATACTATCGTCAATAGGAAGTTTTTCAATACAAAGTTTTGTCAAACTGAACTTCGAAAACGTTTGTGGAATTAGTCTACATGCTCCATTTAAAGAGATGATGTTATCATATTCTTAGTTACAACCGAGTCATTTTCCTGAAAAATGTTTTCCTAAACGAATTACGCAAGATGTCTTTAGTATATGCTGAGATTACATACATCAGTGATACTGCGATCCCCTGATAAAGTCAGAAATTCACCCCACTTTTTGCTCACCGAAGTCTCATTACAATTATTCTCAGTTGATCATTTTTCAAAATTTTTCCTTCTTCCCAACCTCTCCTTCATAGGATCAGCTTGCTTAAAAAGATTCGTGGACTTGTAGAACATGACTTTGTTCTTTATTTGCAGAGTGTTTACTTTCCAACATTGTAAAGAAAACTTAATAAGGAACGTAGGAGAGCTGGAGATCTGATTTTTAAGAAGCTCTCAGTAAAGATAGAAATCCGTTTACATTACATCAGTCAAACAGTGTGAGCATAACACATTATAAGGTATTAACTTGAATAAACTGGACTGTGGTGAGCTAGATCTGACTGGATCTGGACTTGAGAAAACTCATGACATTGAACTAAGTCATTACACTTGATGTAAATATGTCAGCTACATTAGAAAGTTACATTTCTGTTTTATTTCTTGATTCAGCTTCAATTCAACTTGGCTGATTGGCTTGTCTGCTTCATGGCTATATTCAATAGTTCCTCAGTTATTCTTTTTTTTTTTTCAAAAATATGGATTTTAGCTCCGTAAGATTCACTCTCTTTGAGGGATGGTTAGATGGGGCGTCCATCCGGAAAAGATGTTATTACCCTTGTGGGCACAATACGACCACAACGACATCTTGAGGTTGTGCACACCAATCTCACACAACAGGTTTCATGTGTTGTGATGCCCCATCGATGTTTTATTGGAAAGGTACCCACCACATCATGGAACAAGTAGTAGTAAACCAATCGACGAGATGAATAGTCGACTTTTCCTTTCAGAATGTCTGCGCGAAGCTTGGCCTTAAATGTTTTGAAGACCACATGTAGATCAATGTGCGGATAAAATACGGAAACATCAATGGCATTTTTTGGGTAGTAATGCTTTTCAACGATGTGCTTCTTGGATATACCCAATCGCCGGAGAGTCTTTCTGCAACAACGAGGAATCATCGCTATCTTCAAGTGTACCGGGTCACCGAAGGGAAAATGATAGAGGAGGGCTTGCCTGCCCCAGGCTCGCTCGCAGGCCTTAGACACTATGAGGCGAATCCTGTGTTCTGATTGGCCGAGATAAAAAGGCCAAGTTCGACCAGTCTGTTTGCGCCTCGTCGTATGGTTTGTCAGACTTGAAACGATAATTCTTCGTTTGCCTTTTTCCATGCTTCCCGCTCGCCTCGATCTATCCTCGTATCTAGTATTCTTTCACAACGAAACCGGTAAAATTGCGACTGGGTACGAGCGTGCTGTTGTTATTAATAAACGGAAAAAAATTGCACAATGGCAAGAACGTTTGCCAATATTTTCATGGTAAAAATGGAGTAAGGGCACAACTAAAGGTATAGTCTGTGTAACAAAACCGAAGACAAAATAGAAGAATTTATAAGACGGGCAAACAGACCTGTGTATTGTACCACGATACAATCACTATCACGGCTGAAATAATACAAGAATTGACCCTTGACGTCCAAACGCATTATTAGGAGACGAAGATCATGCGTCGTTAAATTTTTATTCGTGTCATTCACTACTCGCAAAGAAACGATTCGTGAGAAGAGAAGCGCTCCGCATACTGTGAGTATATTCGATACGCTCCACGTTTGACTAAGACAAGCAGTGTTTCTAAATACGCTTTAGGAATAGAGGGTACCAAGATGAGATTTCGGACTAATGTATCTCTGTAATTGATTTTAATGGGAGAGAAAGGTCATTAAAACTTACATGGGATGAGGTCTTCGATCGATGGAAACGTTTCCCCATCTCACGGTCACCCGAGAACCGATAGGAACGTTCTGTTTGACTTTCTTCGGAAATACTGTGTAGCTAGGCCTCTGCGAAATCGCTGCTGGTTTTTTTCGCCAAATCCTAACTGAGCTATCTTACGTTCATTCTATGGTTTTAAAATTGATCTATTAAGCCGTATGATAGGGCGGCTGTCCATCCTTGCAAGACGACCACTTTTTGATGACTTTATTATCGCGAACATGGAATGAAAATGACGAAAATATGTAACAAAAAGACGAAAGACACTTAAAGAAAGAAACTATACGAGGGTGTAAAAAGCCAGTTGTCGAACAAGACTGCAGAGATCCATGAGAGTAATATTACGCAATTGGTAGGCTTTCCTGAACTCACGGACAAACTGACTCTCTCCCTGTGCAAGTAAATAATTTATTAATAAGTGATTTTCCTTGTCGGTCGCAATCTAAGAAATAGTTAATCAGAAGGTATAATTTTCTTTGGGATGGATTAAAAGAACAATATCCCAAAAAGTATAGTTTTTTTTTTTTTCGACACAGTTCAAGGAGTTTCGATGTAAAGGTACCGAAGTGGTGGTGTTGGCTAGAAGTGGAGAGGCAACTAAAAGTACTGTGAATGTCTTAACATTTTAGCCGGCGTTTCTCGAAAATTGTTGGCCACCTCAGCCTCACGAAGCAGAGTTACCTTCCAATTGTTTGTTTTCTTCTGCGCCAAACGAGGCAGAAAAAGGCATACAAGAGACTAAAGACTTTTTCCCCTTACATTTTAGAACTTTTAAATGACTCTCAAAAAAAAAACCACAACTTTGAGTTTAAATTTAGAAGACGTTTCGACATTCGCATGTCATCTTCAGTTGCAAATGAGCTTTTAACGGTTGTACATTTGAATTTATATTGAGGTACGTTACAAATTACGTGTCAGGGCTTACGTTTCAATTTGAATATTAAATACGCGAAAAATGTAAATAGCGCGCGCTTGACTAGATCAAAAGATAAAAAATAATAAAATAAGAGACCAAGGAACAACGTAATTAAAAGGAAAGAGATAATTCTAGATGCTTCAATTGCTGATTAAGAATGGGTTTCTCCCAATTAATATGCAATGCCTCTTTGATCTTAATTTATATTTTGAAGCGGCAGAATCTAAGATCGTGAAAAATTCAGTATCACAATAGTCAAGACAGGACCTGATTGCAGGTGCTTGTAAATATGCGAAGTTTAGTCCGATTGTTTAGTGTGAAAGATTCAGTACCGCTAGGTCTACGTTCGCGTGTCGTTCATAAGTTTTCGTGTGCTGGCTGTAATGTCAGTTATATTGGTGAGAGCACTCGCCACATTTGTACGCGAGTTCGTGAGCACCTCTTGTTATTGTAATTAGCATTTCAATTTCTTCATCTTACCAATTCCTTTTCTTTTCCCCTTCCCTTTCTTTGAGCGTGACCTGCTTGAATTTCTTCGCAGTCAGTCATGTTAATTGTTGTCTGCTCGCCGTTGCTATGAAACATTTTTCAATGTGCGAGTGGCACTGGAGACTGATCAACATTGTTTTCATCCTAGCTAAACTGGGAAACATATGTTTCGGACGCAAAGTTTGTTTCCGGGAAGCAAAAATGTTTTTGTCTGCAGGCAAAAACAATTCCGAGCAGCAAAATTTGTTTCCGCAACTTGTGTTTCCCGCGCGGCTAAACTGGGAAACATTTGGCTCCGCAACAATGTTTCCGCAACAAAGTTTCCTAGTTAAGCCAGGTCTTTAGATTCTGCCGCTTCAAAATACCAAATTAAGATCAAAGAGGCATTGCATATTAAGTGGGAAAAACCCATTCTTAATCAGCAATTGAAGCATCGAGAATTATCCCTTTCCTTTTAATTACGTTTATCCTTGGTCTCTTATTTTATTATTATTATTATTATTATTATTATTATTATTATAAAACAGTGGAGAATTTCAAACCACTGATTTGAAATAAACTCATCTGACGGGAATGGTAGAATTTGATAAGAAGGTTGTAATAAAGATTCAAAGTTTCAGTCTTGCTTGGAAAAATGTTTACTCGTGGAGTCTTGCCCTGGAGCATGTTCAAGTATCAATCCGTTTAAACATAGGTTTAATTTCGTATGTCTCCTACTTGTTTATTATGATAAAGCTCTGAAATCATTGCTTACCTGAACTTTTTAGGCTGCCATTCTTCCATTTCCTCTGTAGAAAGAACTTCTGCTACTTTGTTTATTGTATTGTCTAGCATCTAGAAGGTCAAACAAGAAGCTCAACATTTACCCACTGTCACAGCAACTATATTCTGGTTTCTCGTAAGCAAAATACTGAACATGTCACAGCAATAATAGAAACTGTTCACATGCAAATTCTGAGGAACTAAGTCATTAGGTAGATTCACAGTGAAGACACTAAAATGGATCTTGTTTGTTCTTCCTCTTTTGTTCTTTGGCTGTTTTAGTGCTTCTTGCCTCAGTAAGTTCTTCCATTTGATTCACTCACCCAAGAAGAACTTTCGAAAATTAACTTTATCATCATCACATGCCCTCAAAACAATTTTGTCTCCAAGCTCTTTACTAGGTCACTATCATGATTGTTTGAAATCAAACTTTTTACTGATGAGATTATCATATAGCAAGGCAGTCTTTGGTCATAAGCCTTGTATTTTTGGTCGCAAAAGTCAGCAAATTAAAAATTGAGGAAGTTTGGCCTTATTGCCTTTTAAAGAACTACTTACTAATTTCGCAGCCCTCACTTGCTTGAGGTGAACTGAGAAATCATGGCTAGTCCTTTGTCATTTTTGTACAAATTTCGTTGTCACTTTCATTACCACTGGTCAATATTCCTCATTAAGGCCCTCGCGCTCGGTTAGTAAGAAGTTAATCTTCATGAAATGACATTTCAGATCTTGCTAAATTAACAAGTTTGCGGTTGACCCAATATTACAAAAGGGAAACGGGCACGGCGGTTTCGATTTTGTGGTTTTAACCATTCTTTAGAGCGGCTTTTCGGTTTCTAAGAGACCCCAATGCCTTTATAGTGAAATCAAAACAAACTGACTTTGGAATACGTGAAGTTACTAAATGCAGAGCTCTTCGCTAAGGATTTTGTTTTAACACCAATGATTAAAGCGCAGCTTACAGTCCACTGTGAATACTAAAGTAAACAGTCTAATAACGCGGAAATTACGAACAGATTAAAACACTGAGATTGAGAATTGAATTCGCATGACTGTTTGTGATGACGTCACTGCCTGTGATTGATAGTTCAGGTTGCTTGACAAATCACTGTCAGTTCAGAAAGGAGATAAATTTTTAATCAAATGTGTTTTTGTTCTGGAAAGGGTTGATATTTTATAAAGCAAATTGAGAATTGACGGGCGGAAACACACTGTGTGTACAAAGTATGCAATAGAGATAGCCAGTCAGACAATCGGAAAAAAAAAGGCTGTATGACATCCTGTAGTAAATGCTAGGTTTTTGTAGCTAAAGGAAAAAAACCAGTCGGCAATACGTATTATTAAACCATGCAGCGAAGTTCTAAAAACACCGAACGTTAGAGCCGTGTTATTAATCATAAACTCCTCCGAAACTGGTAATCGCGTTGTTTCTTAGTTCATTTCGAAATAATTTGTAGTGGTTTTTAAAACTCTCTTCTATTCATTGGGAATAAGCGTTAAGAAATTTTTGAAATAAAGTTGACAAAGTGGGGATTGAATATTTCAATTTGTTTATTCAATCTGTTTTTGCGACTCTCCGGCCTACCAGAGTTTCCTCAATCCATTTCTTGTTTTCTTTTGTTTGGTATGGGAAAAGTCATTTTCAATTGAACTGAATAAGCTTTTGTCAGACTGTCTTACTTGACAAAAAAAGTAAAAAGCTAAAACAAAAAACAAAAATACCCTCACAATAATGAGAAAATCGATAGATGGGAGAAGCCATGACGCCATGATGGCCTTGGGCAACGAGTCACGACAAGAACGGCCGTGCACTCAGACTAAACTAACGTGCACTCGACTTCTGATGTGATAACTAACTGTCGTATATGAGCACGATCCTTCGCAGTAAAGCACTATTTGAGCAATAGTGAAAATCAAACCTGAAAAAAATTTCAGGCCTGTACGGGATTCGAACCACTGACCTCTGCGATACTAGTGTATCGCAGAGGTCCACTAGTATACGGTCCACTAATATACTAGTCCACTAATATCCACTAATATATATAGAGGTCCACTAATATACTAGGTCCACTAAGATACACTAGTATCGCAGAGGTCAGTGGTTCGAATCCCGTACAGGCCTGAAATTTTTTTCAGGTTTGATTTTCACTATTGCTCAAATAGTGCTTTACTGCGAAGGATCGTGCTCATATACGTCTCATAACCGCAGTTCACACGTATGTTTCATATGTTTGTTGTTGTTTGCTAACTAACTGTCTAGCACATTTATCAAGGTTTATTGGGATATTCTTCTTTCTTGCAAAACAAACCGAACATATCTTAAATTTACATGATAGTTATAGCATGTGTGTCCTCAACGGTCCCATATAGTCACCGCAGCTTGACTTTAAATTGTGATTTCTCCCCCACGTTCAACCGACGCCATTCAAACTGCTATCGACGCGAAGCTCTTTCTATGCTATATCAAGTGAGCTGAGTGCCGAGGGCCATATATCAAGGACAAAAATGTGGGACTAAAATGTGGCGCTAGCCTAAGGTTTTAAAAATTGGATACTGATGACATGCTGGCCAGTGTAATTTATCAAATATTTCTAGAATCTACTCTTTTAATTATTTCAGCTAAGTGATTAATGCATTAATGTCCACCACTAAAGGATATTTCATTTAAACCGCAGACAGCGTGACTATGGTTTTACAATTCAGATGAAGACCACTCGTTCCTTTAAAAAAAACGCGTGTCTCGCACACTTCGACCTCGAATTATATAGTATAATCTTTAATTACGATGCCAACGTCATAAAAGTGGTTTACAGGAGGGTCCCCTTAAATTAAATACTAATACAAAGATAAATTACAAATAGCAACAAATAACTAAAGCTAAATCTAAAAACTAATTAAAAATACTAATGACAAAGTAATTAACTAAAAGTAAAACTAGTAAAGTCAATTAAAAAAAATTAAATTTAGACAGGCCACGTTTGAAAGCAGGCAGTGAGTTTGCATTTCTTAGTGAGATGTCTAAACCATTCCCTATATCTGCGCTAAGGTTAACTGACGACCAATGACCCCATCTTCTTGTGGCACTGGATTTTCGAACGTCATTTCTCGATCTTGTGTTGTAACCATGAAAGTCACGATTAAATGTGACAGGAATAGTATTACATGAATGGTTGTTAATTAATTTGTACATAAAGATGGCATGGTGTTCCTTTCTACGACGCAGTAATGGTTTCCAGCCAAGTCTCTTTAAGGCCTCAGCTGCGGAAAAATAAACGGGTAAGTCTAAAATGAGGCGAGCGGCCTTATTCTGCAACACTTGCAGCTCAGACATTAAGGACGCCA